ACGTTGGCTGATTTAAATCAGCTCAAATGAAAGTCTTCATATCAATATATTTCCAAGTTTTCGTTTGTTCTGATATTCTAATTTCTCACCTAATTGTTAAAATATATGATAGATTTTCACCTATTTTTTCTCTATTGAAGAGGTCTAGATTTCTCGCTTCTTTCACCACCCTTTTGAGCTCATTTGTCGGACATATCCAAAAATATCTATTTATTAGCAGAAATTATGCTTTGGTTTTTCTTCACATTTCAAATAATCTACATTCGTTATTGGTGTATCACCATCTATTCAGAAGTATTCATTTGTCAACCGAAATGCTTTTCCTAAGCCCTTGACTCAGCTTTGCACATTTGTAGGCCATCCAGTTGACAAGAGCACATTTCAGAGCTTTTGGTATTTTTAGTCAACCATTTTGTATTTTAATCATCATTTGATGTGTCATCATTTCACTTCTTTGGCCATTTTGTTACAATCTAATTATACGAAGAAAAGTTGTGTTTCGAGGACTCTTGTTTTATAATTGTTGAGCTTACTTCCATTTCGAGTAGAAGTGTTGGGTAAAGAGATTCGAAGGTCGGTTCCACCAGAAGATGATGGAGGATGCCTCTTGACCAGCCAATCGACAGCTGGTCAAGAGGAATCGGCCGTCGTCTTCTGGTGGAACCGACCTTCGAATCTCCTTACCCAACACTTCTACTCGAAATGGAAGTAAGCTCAACAATCTAATTACACAATGGTTAAGCTCAGCACATAAGTAGGCTTGATTGTCTTTCTTTTTCCTACCAATCACCAAGTCATACGCTGAAATGCGCAGCTACTCAGTCCCACCGCCGGCTGTCTTCCCTGTTCTCTGTGGTGCTCTTGCTCTTGTTCGGCCCGAGGAGTTTGAGGCTGGTGTCTTCGACTCATGGTCAGCATGTCGGCGTCAGATAGACCGTCAGTTCTTCCGTGATCTATCAGAGTTCGATCCCTTCACAGCACAACTTAGTCCATTTGTCGCAGATAAAGTTCAATGCATAGCTCGCGGTATGGTTTAAATAAGTTTTTGTTTATTTCTGCTAGCGATTTGCCGAGTTTACCCCCTCGAGGAGGGCACTTGTTCCTAGACTTCTGTATTACTCTTAGAGATATATGTTACTCTGGAAACTCCTATGATACACTTTAAATAGTGTGTCAACTGAAAAAATATTTTCGTACTCTACTCACCTAATCTCTATGAATATTATTTATTCTATTTACGCGACATATTAGGATAGATATTTGTGGTAGCAATAAATGTGGCAACTGTCTATCATGTTACAATCAAATACGAAGATTCTTCTGTTTGATATTTTTTAATATTTGCCCTACTTTGCTATTTTCCGATTCTTAAATGGTCTAATGACTCCGCTATAATACTATAACCATCATTCTTGAACATATACAATTAGACAGACAGGGATGTCTTTCAAAAAGCATATCATACGACAATTTCACTAACGTTCATGTGAATAACAGTAAAACATTTGATTTTGATGTCCTGCAGTCGACAGTGGAACTGTTTATGGCAATATGAACAGGGAGCCTGTCTATTGGCATCAAATTCGAGTCATGTATCTTTAATGGCAATCAGGCTAGTCATTAAACTAAACGGCCTGTCAATTAAGTAGTACGGGGAAAGATAGATCCCCCAGGATAATCTGTGCTGTATATTATCATTTCACAGAATTTTGCAAAAAATATCTGTTAATCTGCAACAAAACTCTAGACTTTGCTTTTAAATTACGGTTATAGGTTTGGTCTAATCTTATATTTTCAACTTAAGAGAGTGTAGCTCCTAATGGATCTTCTGCCACCACTACTGTTTTCCTCCAAAATCAGAGCTTTGACCAAATATGTATCATTAGAAAAATAGTTGACACAAACGGTATGGAAAGTCATACCTAACAATATGTCACAATTAATTGAGACATCACCCATTTTATATTTTTTCCTTAAATCTCCAATCTTGAATCATTCTTCCTCATTAATACAAAGGATGTTGTCTTTGGAAAAAGTCGTGGTGTGCATCCATGCAAGTGAGCTTATCTGGGCATTTTCACATCCCGCCTAGTAGTAAACCTGACTTTATGGTCAAAATTGGTCTTCCCTTCCTGTACTAGCAAAGTTCCTTTTACACAAGTTCAATCTCCTGATCCATTCTTCTAGTCTGCCATTATTTGTGTTTTTGTTTGTTGCTACCCGTAACCTGCAAACTTGTAAAATTGTCAACTTGGCTAGGATATAATAAAGTTGTTTTTTACTAGCCTCACAGAAAGTTCTCACCAAATGGTACTACTCTTGCTCAAGACTTTCAGGCATTGAATGTCTTTTGTTAGCGTATTTTACTTGTCACAGTCGCGTTATAATTTCTTACCTATCCATTACAATCCCATATTTTTACCTCAGCTAGTCACCTTACACCTGTCTAGATAAATGGTTTCAATCCACTTATTTTAATTCGTGCCAACATAGTAAATTCATCGTTAGACATTTTTACGTGTAAGCCATATGAGGGAACCCCTTAGACGACGCCAATTGAGTGCAGTTCCATTGAATGTCGACTTGGCCGAGCATGCTCTTAACATAAACGCCATAGGAAAGTGGTATCCATCACTACTTACAGACCATTCAATTCCTCCTTTTTCTCATGCTGCATCCTCCATACATGCGGTTATTTTCGCCGATCG